GGCGAACACGACCCGGGAGGGGCTGAATCAGGACGCCTGGGGCAGAGCAGCTGGGGTGCTGCCGGATTGGTCCAGTAGCGCCCAGAGCGGTGCTGCGAGACCAACCGGCAGCGCCCCAGCTGCTCTGCCAAAGGCGTCCGGAGAAAAGCCTAGTCTGCTGGGGGGGAGGAGGGGCGACGTACTAGCTGCGCCCCACCCACCACAGCAGACCAGGAAGACGCGATCGGCAGACCGAGACGCACCGCGGTTCCGCCGCCTGGGTCCTCCGCAGCTTTGCTCAGCGTCTCCCTGGAGCAGACCAGGGAGACGGGGAGCAAAGCCGCGGAGCACGCGGGCAGCAGACAGACCAGAGCGTCTTCCTGGTCTGCAGACCAGGGAGACGCGGAGAAAGCCCTGGAGTACACGAGCCCCGTTCGTAACTGCGGATCCGATATAAGTCGGATCCGCGTAAGTCGGGGACTGCCTGTATTTCAAAAAGGGATTTTGGGGTCAAGCTAAATAGGAATCAACAGTGTGACACTATTGCAAAAAAAGAAAACATCTTTCTGGCATGCATTAACAGCAGTGTTGTAATCAAGACAAAAGAAGTAATTTCCCCTTCTATTCTGCACTGATTAGGCCTCAGCTGGAATATTGTGTCCAGTTCTGGGTGCCATATTTCAGAAAAGATGTGGATAAATTGAAGAAGGTCCAGAGAAGAGCAACAAAAATGATTAAAAATCTGGAAAGCATGAGCTCTCAGAGAAGACACAAAGAATTGAGTTTATTTATTCTGGAAAAGAGAAGACAGAGGAAACATGATAATAGCTTTTGATTATCTGAAAGGTTGCTACAAGGGGGAGGGAGAAAAATTATTTTCCTTAGCCTTTGGTGGTAAGACAAGAAGCAATGGGCTTAAAAGCAGCACGGGAAATTTAGGCTAGACATCAGGAAATACTTCCTGTCATAGTGGTTAAGCTCTGGAATAAATTGCCCAGGGACATTGTACAATCTCCATCATTGGAGATTTTTTAAGAGCAGGTTAAACAAACACCTGGGTGGGATAGTCTAGATGGTGCTTGGTCTTGCCATGGGTGGAAGAGGACTTGACTTGGTTTCTCAAGGTCCCTTGCAGTCCTATGATTCTAAATCCTATGAAATCTTTCTCTCTCTATATATATATATATAAAGTTTTTCCTGCCACACGACAGAATGATAGTATTTATCTTAGCATTCAACAAAGGCATCAACAAGTTTGTAATGACTTATGAAATTAAGTTGTAATCATTTTATTAATGCTATTTTTGCATTACTATTGAGGCCTTTTCTACACAAGGAAGGGGACAGGGAGGAGATGTGGCAGAGACCACACAGAGGCAGGATCTGTTTCAAACTCTGCTGGAGTCAAGCCCATTCTGCCAGGCAAATGCATATGAGCTGATGACAGGGAAGGGAACTACCTAAGGTGGTATGGTAGTCCAATTACACATTTCACCTCAGAACAGGTATTGTGCTCAAGTTTTCTTTTCAATTCTTTGCTT